ATTATTTTTGTTGATTCATATCTTTTTATGTTTCTAGTTCTTTAGTTTTCTAGGCGTGTTGTTTGATCGTTGAGTCTGTTTTATTCTCCCTGCCGTACGCCTCTCTGTGTGTGTGCGTGGGTGGGTGTGTGGGTGGGTGGGGGGGGGGGGGCGGTTATGCGTACGACCAGGCACTTGATGGCCTTCGTCTCTCCACCCTCGTTCTTTTTTTTTCCTTTGGGTTTGTGGGTTTGTGTGTGTGTGTGTTGTCGCGGTGCACTGCGGTGCGTCCCTGTTGCCACGCCATCAAGCTACCCGCCGCCGCACGTGTGGTCGGCCCATGCACGCATTCCGCGTGGAGCAGGGGCTACGTCCCCGTCCTTATCTGTCCGTGCGGTGGGGGGACGGCGCGGCGGCGGCGAAGGGAAAGAGGGACCCGCTGGAAGTAGTCTTTGCGTCGGTGTGTTTGTGTGCGTGCGTGAGAGAGAGAGAGAGAGGGGGGGGCAAGGCGGAGGGGGTGAGCGTGGAATGGGGAGTAAAGCTTTTCCTGGCACTTTGTCGGGGACGCAAATAGAGGCCGTTAGCGCGTTGGCAGCGACACTCCCACGCATGACTTCCTCTTTCATTCCTTCTCCCTCCATCTCTCTCTCTCTCTCTCTCTTCTGTTTTGTGTGTGGAATGTGTAAGTTTAACTTTAACCGGGCGGTGAAGAGCGAAGGAGGGGCTGGATAAATATATATTAACACGCAGCCTCTCTTTCTCATTTATATTAGTCTTTGAGTGCCCGGCGTGTTGTGTGTGAGGGGCCCGTGTGAAATGCACCGCGGCGTTGCGGGGGAGGGGGAGGGAGGAGGTGTGTGGTGGGATGCGGGTTTACGTGCGTCTGCTCCTGCGGGAGGCTCCCAGGCATGCGCACGGGCGCCCGATACTTCCATGCGTGTGCGTGCGTGCGGGACCCCACCCCCCCTGGAAAGCGCCGTATAGTATATTATAGTGTACACACAAATAGAGGCATACGTATGGGCTTAGGAGGAGGCACGCATTTTATTTTGGTTTGGTTTTTCTTTCTTTCCTTCTTGACCCCTTTCCCCCACCTTTAATCCCCACTTTTTTTTTCTGCTGTGTCTCTGTCTCTCTCTCTCTGCGTGTGTGTGTGTGTGGGTGTGTTTGCTACCGCCCCCCGCCTAACTGTGCGGCTGCCGGCGCCGCCAGCCGCCCGTGACCGCGGCGGTGGCCGTGACGGACGCCCCTCCCCACTCCTCCTCTCAACCCCTGTTTTTTTCTCGCCCCCCCCCCTCCCCCCACTGCCCCTCAATCACTGTGGCTGCGCCGCAGCAACGCAGGCCACACGCAGGCAGCATGGCGTACAATGAGGCGCTGCTGGGGAAGTACCGCGAGCTGGTGCGGCGCGGGGAGCCGTTTCGCAGCGCGACGTGCCCCTACTGCAACGGCACCCGCGACGCGAGCATTCAACATATTGACCCCAAGCGGAAACCGCAGTCGCCGTGGGACTTTTGGGACCACATCGTCTGCGCCCCCTCTGCCGAGAAGAACGACGGCGGCGGCGACGCACACGATGGCGTGGGCGATGCGGGGGCGGCGTTAAGCGCGGAGCAACGCCCTCGCGCGCCGCCGCGGCGCCGGCCGATGTACGTGGTGGGGCCGATGGTGGACCAGAGCGAACTGCCCTTCCGCATGCTCTGCCGCCGCTACGGGGCGACGCTGGCGTACAGTCCAATGCTGCACGCCAGGAGCTTCGCCCAGAGCGCCCAGTACCGCGCACGCTACTTCTCCACGACGCCGCACCGCGCCACACCCGCGGGCGGCGCAGGCGCCGAGGCGGCGGTGGGCATTGAGGAGGCGAAGGACCACCCGCTTTTTGTGCAGTTCTGCGGGAATGACCCCGACACCCTGCTCGCGGCGGCGCGGTATGTGGAGGACCACTGCGAGGCCGTTGACATCAACTTTGGCTGCCCGCAAGGCATCGCCCGCCGCGGCCACTACGGCTCCTTTCTCATGGAGGACTGGGAGCTTGTGCACAACATCCTGCACTGCCTCGCCGTGGAGCTGCGGGTGCCGGTGACGGCGAAGATGCGCGTGTTTGACGACGAAGCCCTGACGCTGAAGTACGCGGAGATGCTGCGCGACACCGGCATCGCGGTGCTCTGCGTGCACGGCCGCACGCGGCACAACACGCGGGCGCTTGCAGACATTTCGAAGATACGTCGCGTGCGTGACCACCTGCGCGGGTCCATTCCGGTCATTGGGAACGGCAACGTCTTGACGTTTGCGGATGTGCTGCGGCACCTGTCGGCGACGGGGTGTGAGGGCTACATGTGCGCGGAGCCGCTGCTGTGGGATCCGCGCCTCTTCTCTGCGCCGCCCCACCCGGTGCGCAACGGGCGATGCTTCGCCGAGTGCCGTGAGGCGCGGCTGGGCGCCGTTCGTGCGGCGCAGGCGTACCTGCAGCTGGTGCAGCGCTACCCCGTCGACGTCGGCTTCGTCAAGGCGCACCTCTTCAAGATGCTCTTCCACAGCTACGAGATGCACCCGGCACTGCATGCGTGGCTCACGAGCTTCAGCTGCAGCGGCCGCGGCGCCGCCCCCGGCAGCGACGAGAGCGGCGCGGACGGCGCAGCGGCGGAGGCGGCAGCGGCCGGCGAGAGTTCGGACTTCTTCACCGCCGCCATGGCCGCGCTCGGCGAGCACCTGCGGCGGCTGTACGCGGCGGAGGTCTCCTGCGGCGTGGAGGGGCCGCAGCCGAAGCGGGCGGAGGCGCGCCAGCAGGGCGGCTGCGGCGATGCCGCGCCGACGAGGAACGCGGCAGCTGCGGCGCCACCCGACGCCTTCGCGGAGGACGAGGTGTTTGGCATCGACTTCGACTAACGCGGCGGGTAAACGAGTGGGAGGCGCCTCCCACCCCCTCGCCGGGCTGCGGAGGCGTCGCACGACGGCCGCCGCGCCGACTGTGCCGTGGCAGCTCCGTCGACATGCAGTGAAGTCCCCGCTTCTCCCTCTTTCTTCTCGCCTCTCTCTTCTCTTTTTCGCTTCTCCACTTCGCTTCTCTCTCTCTCTTGTTGTCTGTGTGCGGGGTGCGCACTGCGTGAAGTGGAAGGGGCAAAAGGAACAGAGACGCGCCTTCACCTCACCCTGGGCGGCAGGTAAGGGCGGCAAGCGAAGGAACACGCAAGAGCGCCAGCGCGGGCGAGCGAGCAAAAGGAAACAAAAGGGAAAAAAATAGGGAGTAGCGAAGCACGGGCGCGCAACAAGAAAAAAAAGGAAAAAAAAACGAATAAAAAAAGATTTATGGGGCGGGGCTGTTGCGTTGCCCTCGCCCTCGCCCTCGCGCTGCTGTCGCTCCTGGCGCGCGGCGAGGCGGCGTTGACGGAGCAGAGCCACGGCGAGGCGGCGCCGCGCAGCCCGTGGCGGCCGCCCGTTGCCTTCGGCACCCTCACCGCGACCCCCGCGAGCTCCGCGGTGGTGGCGGCGGCGGCGCCGGTGCAGCAGCAGCCACCGCAGCAATCGCGGACGGCGCCGGTGCAGGAGCTGGGGCGGATGCAGGAGTACAGCTACCGCGTCGCCTCGATGAACAGCGTGGTTCCCGTCACGGTGGAGGCGGGCAGCCGGCATCAGCTGGAGTTCACCGGCGAGGCGGACAACGTGGTCAGCATCGTGGCCCAGCTGCTGGACAACCGCTACGACAACAGCGTCCCGTCGTCGAACTGCTTTGGCCTTTACGTCAATGTGGAGGTGCAGGTGAAGGATGCGGACGAGGAAGCGGCGGGCGGCAACAGGGAGGAGCCGCCGCGGCAGCAAAGCACGCCGCCAAGCGCCTGGGCGACCTTTTGGAACTCCATGGCGACCATCCTCGACAGCAGTGCCTTTTGCGACCTGCTGCCGACGGTGATGCTGCGCGTGGAGCCGACGCGGGAGGCAACGCAGTACTACTTCATCGTCAGCGCCCGCCACGGCTACACGCTGCCGCTCTACAACTACACCTGTCAGATGCGTCTGTTTTTTACGCAGAGGCCCGCTGCGGAGATGGCGCGGGTGCAAAACGTGTTTGCGCTTGGCCTGCCGCTTGCCTTTCTGCTGCTGACGGGGCCGTTTGTGCTGTGGCGCATTGACCTGATCCCCGGCTACCTCACCGACATTGACGTCATCAGCTGGATGTGGTTCCTGCCGTGCATCCTGCGGGACGCCCTCATCAAGGCGGCGGTGGGCTGCGGCACGGTGCTGTGGGGGGCCTACCGCAAACGACGCGCCCGGGAGCGCCAGCGGCGGCTGGAGGAGCGGCACCGTCGCCTCATGGAGGAGGCAGAGCGGCTGCCGAGCATGTTCCACGGCCCGCCGCCGCCGCCGCCGCCGCCGCCGCCGCCGTTTCAGCGGCAGGCCCAGCAGGAAGCATTTGCAGCTGCCGATGTGAGCCCCGGCCCCAGCGGCGGGAGCAATAGCACTACTAATAGTAAAGCTCATAGCAGTACGTCCAACAACAACAACAACAACAACGGCAACAACTCTGGCGGCGGTGGTTGTCAGGGTGAGGCGGAGCGGCATGGGCCAGTCGCAGTGCATGTGCGACAGCCACCGCCTCATCCGGTGCCAACGCTGGCACCAACGACAGCGGCAGCTGCCGTGGAAGCAGAAGGCGGCGGCGGCGGCGGCGACGACGACGACGTGGATGCCAGCCTCAGGCAGAAGCACACCGAGGAGGAGAAGCGGAAACTGCTGCAGAGCTCTGGGGAGCTGGAGGCCAAGCAGCAGGTAGACGGTGAGGCGTCGTCGCCCGCGAACGCCCGTCTGGCGGCGTCCGTCGCGCAGTACCCTCCGGGCGCCAGGGAGAAGGGCGCCGCCGCCGCCGCCGCCGTGGGCCCGCGAGAGATGTTGGAAACAGCGGCGCCCTGCGTGGTGCACGTGCACGCGGCCGCCGAGGCGCCGGTGGACTCGGTGGACGGGCTGGCCGCCGGCGGCAGCAGTAACCACCGCAAGCGTGCATCCGGTGGGGCCCGTGTCTTTCTGTACAAGGAGGAGGAGGAGGAGGAGGAGAACGTCTGTCGCATCTGCCGTGACGGGGCGGAGGAGGAGAAGCTCGTCTCGGCGTGCGAGTGCACCGGCTCCGTGCGATGGGTGCACCGCACCTGCCTGGACCGCTGGCGCCTAGAGAGTGCGAAGCGCAACATTCGCAACGTCAATCGCTGCGAGATCTGCAAAAAGCCCTTCAGCATCCCCATTCGGCGACGCACGCTGCTGTGGCAAAGCTCGCGCCATTTTTTGCTTGCCATCACGCTCGCCGTTTCCACCGTTGTCCTGTTCGCCGCCCTCTCGGTGCTCCTGCGCAACACGCTGGGGAGCATCTCCTGTCAGGCCCCATGGCGCAGCGTCTCCTACGCGACGATGTTCAACCTGGACGGCATCATACTCACCCTGTTTGGGTACTTTATGCTCACCCTCCTCGCCACCTTCTCCTTCGCCCTCGTCTACAGCCGGTGGCACGTGCGGGAGGAAACCGAGGCGTACGTGCAGGAGTTTCAGGTCCTGCCGGAGTTTTGGACGCGGCGAAACACGGCGAAGGTCGTGGCGGTGTACGTGATCGGCCTTGGGCAGGCCCTCTGCCTCGGCTACCTGCTGAAGCTCTTCGTATACCGCACCAGCAGTGTGGCGTGGAACTGGGAGGCCTCCCCCTCCATTGGCGCGGTGCTCTACCTGATGCTCCTCAGCTTTGCCGTCAGCGTCGTCCGCGGAGGCCGGGACTTCATTCGGACCCAAACCGCCCGCAGCGCGCGGGACGTTGTGGTGGAGACGGCAGACGAAACACAACAGGAACAACAACAAGGGGGCGGAGAGGCAGCGACGGTAGCAGCAGCAGCTACAGGGGAGAATGCAGATTCGCACGGACAAGCGCCCACCGGTGAGGGACCACGCGCGACGTCAGAGGCGGTTGCCGTGCCGCCGCACCTGCGCCCGATCCGGGCCGTGGAGTACTGCCCAAGGCGTCCTGTGGAGCGTCCCCGGTAGATATTCATCCAGTGGCAGCGAAATACCCCCGACGCACGCGTCCCCCCAGATCCTGTCATATTCTGCACTATAGCCTTCAAACGTGTGTTTGTCTATGTGCGTATATATCCATGCATGATCGAGTGCTGACGGCGCACCGGTCACTACCTAATATATATATATATATATACATATACAATGCACCTGTGTGTAAGTCCATACACGATACAGAATATAAACACATCTAGGTATATATATATGTATATATATATACACACACATAGAAATGGATATGGATATGGACATATATATATATATATGTAATATGGGCTGTGTTTTCTGAAAATCAAATTTTTTTCGTGTGTGTAAATGCTTTTTTAGTTCTTCTTTCCGAAGTTCTTTTCTTCTTTTCTTTTGCGTGTGTTAGCTGTGCGCTGTTGCGGTCGTGTTTGCGTTTGTTGTTGTTTTGTTGTCTGCCTTCTCAGGTCCCCCGCGTAGGTAGGGCGCGCGCAATGCGCCCAGCGGCGGAGGTGACGTCGCCGTCGTCGCCTCCTCGTCTTTTCTTCTTCTTTTTTTTCCGTTTCGCGCTGCCGGTGGTGTTGTAGGCGCGTGGGGGCCGCCTCCGCCCCGCCCGCCCCCATTTTTTTTTGTTTGTGTTTTTGTCTCTCGCAAGCGTGGCGTTGCGCCCTCCCCACTCCGAGCGTCGGGAGGGGGGGCTGAGGAGGGGCCCCGCGCGCCACCTCGTGGGCGTCGCTGCTTGTGTTTGTTCCCCCCCCCCTGTCCCTCTTGCAACTGTCTTTTTTTTTTTTCTGTTTTTCCTTTTCCTTTGCTTTTCCTCCTTTTCTTCTTTTTGCCTTGCCAGGCTCACCGGCGCAAAGGAACAAAACAAAAGGAAAAAAGGAGCGGGCCTCAGGGTGTTCGGGGGCGCGGCGGGAAGATGGGTCAGTGCCTCTGCTGCACCACCGTGGCGCAGTCGGAGGTGGCGCTGCTGGAGAGCTGCGGCAGTTTCCTCGCGACCGCGGGGCCCGGCTGCCACTGCCTCCTCCCGTGGACGCGCAAGGCCGGGACGCTTTCCCTGCGGCTGCGGGAGCACCACATCCTCATCCGCTCCAAGACGAAGGACAACGTGTTTGTGAACATCCGGCTGACGGTGCAGGTGCAGGTGATCCCCGGCCGGGAGTCCGCCGCCTTCTACGGCGTGGAAAGCCCGGCTGCCGTCATCCAGAGCTACGTGGAGAACTCCGTGGAGGCGAAGATCCCGCTCTACAACCTGGACGCCCTCTTCATCGAGCGGGGCACCATCTCGCAGCAGCTGAAGGGCGAGACGGACGCCGTCATCGAGAGCTACGGCTGGGACATCGTCTCCGCGCTCATCACGGAGATCGACCCCGGCGGCGCCATCACGGAGGCGATCAACAGCATTCAGAAGAACCAGCGGCTCCGCGTGGCCGCCGTGGATGAGGCGGAGACAACAAAAATGCAGCGCGTGCGGGCGGCGGAGGCGATCTGTGAGTCGCGGCGGCTGGCGGGGATGGGGCTGGCGGAGCAGCGGAAGGCCATCGTGGCGGGCCTGCGAAAGTCCGTTGCGGAGATGCGGCAGGACGTGCCCGGGCTGAACAACGAGGACGTGCTCAACCTGCTCATGATCAACCAGTACTACGACACGATGAAGAACGTGACGGAGAACAGCTGCGGCAGCCTCCTCTTCATCGAGGGGGCGAGTGGGCTGCAGTCCTTCTCGAAGGAGCTGCGAAGCGGCGTGGCGCAGACAATGCGGTAAACGTCGCCAAATGAAAAAAAAAAGACGAAAGGAACGAAAAAAAAAAAAAGTAGGCACAACCACAGGGGACGGGACAGCGGCGGCCGGGTGCCCCCGCCCTCTGCCTTTCTTGTGCCGCACCAACCCACCCGCACACCCCTGCAGAAGATGCGCGTGGGAACTGCGGCGCGCAACTCCCGCCCCCATCGCCTTGGTTTTGTTTCACTTTTCCTCCTGCCCCTATTTTTTTCGTGCGTACCATCCACCGTCCCGCTGCTGCACCTCGTCACGGCCGTCGACGGCAGCAGCGGCGACGAAAGTGATTAGCTGCGTCTGTGTGCGTGTGCAGGAGGGTAATACACATTCGGACCGGTGCGTCGCTCTTTCTTTATTTGTTTCCTTTTTCCCTCCTTTTCCCTCTATTTGTTTTCGTCAGCGGCTATTCTGAGCCTCCTCCTTCCCCGCCTCCCCTTTCCCCAAGCGTGTGGTGTCATCCCCGCAGCCACGATGGCCGGGGCGTGGTGCAAGTCTCTCAACGCACACGCCTCCACCTGCGCTGCTGCTTCTCTCTTCTTTTGCGCGGCCGCTGAACTGTGACAAGGCGGTGGGAGGGGCAGCGCTGCAACAGAATGTAGACCTGACCGGCTTTTGAGGCCGTCCGCTGCCTCGCCCTGTGGGCGTGTTTGTGGCGCTCACGGAGAGGGGCGGGGAGGGGAGGGGGAACGGAGTGCGCGGAGCCCGGCGGGGTGAAGGGCAGCGTGAGGCGGGGGCCGCTACCTGCACTTCGCACGGCGTGGCGCTTCACATGGCGCCCCCCACAGCACGAGGACTCTTGCGTGTGCGTAACGTGTGTGTGCGTGTGGTACTCAACAGGGGAGGAAGATGTCTCCGCCGCACGCTGGAACTTGCGTGCATTTCTGCCGCACCGACGTGTGCCGCGAACGGCCGTGGCAGTTTTCGGCCCTCCGTGTGACGCGTGCCTCACGCCCGCGTGGCGTCGCGCTAACGGACGGGGCTCGGAGTGGCTGCGGCCGCAGCACCGCCACCTGGCGGTTACTCACGCCCCTCTGAGTTCCTTTTTTTATTTTATATTTTTTTGCCCTTTTCATTTTTGTTTTCTTCTTCTCCCTCTGCCTTTCTGTCTGTCTCTGCGGGTGTGGTCTTCGGCGAGAGCCACGGCGGTGCACCGCTGCCGCACACGCACACACACACGCAAGCGCCGGCAACGCCCGACTGCGTGCGTAGGCCAACAAAATGCAATCAGACCCATGGAGGCAGGTGATGTTCTCCGTGGTGCTCGTTGTGCTGATGCTGCTCCTGCTCAGCTACTGCTGCTGCATCTACTACATCCGGCGACGGCGCGAGCGGCGCCGCGCGGTCCTGCTTCGCCGGCGAGAGCACGAGGAGCACCAGCGGAGGCTCCACCGTCTTGAGGAGATACGGCAGCACTCCCTGTACCTGCTGTTCTACTCGGAGCTCCTCCAGGCCGCCACCGCGTCGGTTCCGAATGCGGAGCCCGCGGCCGGCAACAACGGCTTCGCCGCAGGAAGCCCCCTCACTGGAATCCCGCTCGCCACCGCCACAAGTGCCGCGCGACGCCGTAGCGCCGCGTCTTTCGTTGAGCAGGAGGAGACACCTAGAACAAATCCTTATCAGCCGCGGCAGACATCTTACGCTGAGGAGGACTCTGCCTTTCGCTACGGCACCGCCGAGTACCTGGAACGCCCCCCCACTTCCGGGTCCGAGAACAACACGGAAGAGCAAGACTGTGGCGTTGGGTCACTGGGTGCGGTATGCACGGCACACGCGGCCGGCATGGGAGCCAAGAAATAATTCGGCGCCAATTGGCCGGATTGAGCTCCGCTTGGGCGGTGTGGTCCGCTGTACTCATCTCTCTCCCTGTGCCCCGCCACACACACACACACACACACAGTGACACACAGACACAGAAAGAGACATTGCCACTGCCTGCCTGAGGACCCTCGTTCTCTCCCCCGCCCTCGTTGTCTCTCTCTCTCTCTATCCCTCTATCTCCCCCTGCTCCACTGCTTCTTTTCACCACTGCAGTAACCTAAAGCCTCTGGAAAGCGAAGCAGTATGATGCGCGGGAGTGACAGTGAGGAGAGGGCGCCTGGCGCCGTGCACCCGCTGACTTCCCCACACCACAATGACGTCAGAGCCCCCGATGCCACCGCACACCCCGATGACGACGGCACCTCCCCGCTGCAGGACGCCAGCCCCTACGAGAATGGCAGCGTGAAGAAGGACGACGGGAATGCGCTGCCGGAGGGCGAGGCACCGGCTCCCACAGGCTTCCTTGCGAAGGTGAACGCGTGTGTGAACGTCGTCCTTCCGCCCGGCGGAGTCCTCGCGAGCGCCTTCAACCTCGCGTCGTCGTCGATCGGGGCCGGCATCCTCGGCCTGCCCCTGGCCGCGAACAGCAGTGGGCTTGTGATGGCCGTCTTGTACCTCGCCGTCATCACGTTCCTGACCATCTACTCGATGTATGCCCTCGGCGTGGCGGCGCAGCGAACGCAGATCAGCAACTTCGAGGGCATCGCGGTGGCGCTGATGGGCCGCTGGTTCGCCTTGTTTGTCGCGTGTGTGCGCGTCTTCCACGGGCTCAGCGGCTGCGTCGCGTACGTGATCAGCGTCGGAGACATCTTTAAGAACATCTTGAAGAACAGCAACAGCGCGCCGCAGTTCCTGAAGGAAACGAACGGAAACCGCCTGCTTGACGATTGTGGTGTGGCTCTGCGCGATGATGCCGCTGGTGATCCCGAAGCACATTGACTCGCTCCGCTACTTTTCCACCTTCGCTGTCTCCTTCATCATCTACTTCGTCGTGGTGATCGTGGTGCACTCCTGCACGCACGGGCTGCAGGACAACGTCCACCACATCAGCGTGGGCAAGGACGACGACGCCAACGTGGTGCTCTTCAACAGCGGCAACAAGGCAATTGAGGGCCTCGGCGTCTTTCTTTTCGCCTACGTTTGCCAAATTAATGCGTTCGAGGTGTACTGGGATATGAAGAACCCCACGCTCCCGCGTTTCACACTCGCCGCCGGCATCGGTATGACGCTGTGCTTCCTGCTCTACGCCATGACCTCCTTCTTCGGCTACATGGACTTCGGCAAGGATGTGGACGGCTCCATCCTGCTCATGTACCGCCCACTCGACGAGCCCGAGGTGTTGGTGGCGTACATTGGTGTGCTCTCCAAGCTGTGCGCCTCCTACGCCTTGCTCTTCATGGCCTGCCGCAATGCCATCTATCACGGCCTCGGGTGGGACGTGGACAAGATACCCTACTGGAAGCACATCCTTGCCGTGACCTTTCTTTCGGTCCTCATGCTGATCTTCGGCCTGTTCATCCCGAAAATTCAAATTGTGCTTGGCTTTGCGGGCTCCATCACCGGCGGATCCCTTGGCTTTCTGCTCCCGGCGTTGTTTGTCATGTACTCGGGTGAGTGGACGTGGAAGAACGTGGGCACCTTCAACTACGTCTGCACGTACGTGATGCTGATTGCAGGGGTGGTTGGAATTGTCTTTGGCACGGGCGCCACCATCCACGCCACCATCGTGGGATAGCGAGAGAGACAACAGCACGGGGTGCATAAATAACTTTTTATGATTGTTTAGTTGTTGTTGTTGTTGTTGTTTGTTTTTCTTTTTCTTTTTTTCTTCTCCAAAACGCATCAGTACAAAAGATAAATTTAATTGTAAAGGCCGGTAGTTGGGCGCGTTGACGAGGACGTGGGGAGGGCAAAGAAGCGTCGCGCGCCGACGGCTCTGGAGGCAAGCCCGTGCCGTACTGCATGAGTGTGTTTGCATGCATGCCTTGCCGCACGTGCGTATTTGTTTCTGTGCGCTGGTTTCGTTAATTGATTGTTTCTTTGTTTCTTTTCTTTTTTTGTGCGCGTGCGCAGCAGCTGATGGAAATGAACTCTGTGCGTGTCTCTCTCTCCCTGTGTGCCTCTCGCACTGTGTGTGTGTGTCTCTCGCACTGTGTGTGTGTCTCTCGCACTGTGTGTGTGTCTCTCGCACTGTGTGTGTGT